GCAGTTTGAAGTAGTCCAGCAGACCGCAGGGGAAGGCCGCTGAACTGACCGCGCCTAGACCAACACCCGCGAGGGGGTGGGGCCTCGAAGGTGAGGAGACGATGGGTCTCGATGGAGACTCCGTGCCTCGCGAGGTACCACCGGTAGAAAGCAGCCGGGACCGATGCGGGGAACGCGAAGTCCAAGGGCGTCAGGCTCAGCCGAGGCGCGGATCCCGGAAGAAGTCCGTATTGGAACCGGGAGGAAAAGGAGGGGTTGACAAGGAGGAAATCCCATGCGGACCCCCGAGGAACGACGAGAGCCGACAGGAGATGGGGAGAGGGACGGTGCGTCAAAGCCGGGACTGTGCGCGGTGGAGGAGGAGACGAACCCGGTAAGTCACTCCCGTAGGTGACAGTCGGGAAACGGGATTACAGGATCCCCTTACCCCCTGCTCAATACAGAATTAGAATCCACTCGCTGAGCAGCGGGCAAGAACTGGACGACAGGTGGACAGCCTCTTGCAGGGGCATCACCACGGGCAAGCTGCGTCCCCTCGGACTAAAAACCCCGTCGAGCGGGACAATTATTCCGGCGGGTATGGGCGGGCGGGGTCCCCGTGGGCGCTTCCCGGACCCAATCGGCTCTGAAGCCGGTGCGGTCGAGTCAATGACCGGACAGACAATGAAGCCGGGAACCCACCCAAAAGGGAATGGGGTCCCCATCTGGGCGGTCAAGGCGGTGATCTGGAAGCCGCCCATTTATCTGTCAGATGTGCTAGGCCCGTCTCCCTGGATGCGGCGACTCGGTTCTCAGACAGGCATGGGAAGATAACAGCCTTCCTGCGGTAGTTCGGTCAGCGGTGAGGTCGAATCGGGTCCCCCATAATGATTGAGCCGCATGGAAGGTGCACTCCGTTCTTTCTAGCCACCCTAAAGCGGCTTAGAACCGGAGTCGAGTTGGTTCTAAGGGACTTCGCCACGAACGGTAGAGATATTGACGAGCTGTGTCGGTGTACGGTCCGCCTCCACCAGGTAGTTGCAGCCGAAACTCCCCTACGATGAAGATGCACCCGCGGCGCTCGGGTGCTACCACTGGGAATATGTAAGTTCAAGAGCCGGGAACCCCGGTTCTGACTGCCGACGGGCGAGCCGGGCAACCCGAATGCGCGGGCGAACAGAACGCGGGTACGTCTACACCGACTTGGCGAAGGTATACCCTGTTTCACCGTGCCGTTTGTCCTTCAGGTCCCCGCAGCGTCGCGACGAGGTGAGAGAACAGGACCTCCACGCCGGGAGAGGACCTTACCCCAACACGGCTACCCGCGGTAGGGTAGGGGCCGGGTCCTTCTGGCACGGTATCACGTCCGAGAGCCCACCCCCACTGTCATGCCGTCACGTTCCGGGGCAAGTCCCAGCCCCAGACGGGCCCCCACTGCGGTACAGTTGCACCGGATGCCGAGAACCGCCCCGAATGCCGTCGGACGGGGGATCGTTGGTTGCGGCTCCCGAAGGCCGAACCCTGGAGGGGGATCCACGACCCTACGGGGGACAGAGAGAGGGAGCTCGGGGGATCGGGTCCCACCTCGGATTCACCGACAATGAATTTTCGGTCGTAAAGACGAAGGACTTGCAGTCCCTTTGGCTCAAGACCTCTCGAGACCGGGAGGAGGCACCGCTCTGTACGACTCCGCACCTTTGAGCTACCCGAGCCCAACAACGGAGACCGGCTTGCCGCCGCAAGGGGACGGGGGTTTCACCGAAGGGTGATCGTTAGTTATGCCGGATAGGCTGACGCGCGCGAAAATGTTCAGGGTGTCCGCTTTGCCGGTGCGGATACCACCTCTTAGACTCTAGCCACTCTGAGCGCCCGAGGCATGAATCTACAGCTCATGCAGGCGCGAGACCCTCCCTCAAATGCTCGAGGCCAAGGCAGAGGGGAGCAGCGGTCATGGCCGTCCTCGGGCTCAAGAGAAGCCATACAGGCGCTACATGAATGAGCCAGTCTGTAGGTAGCCAGATGCAGCGTAGCCGGGAGTGGGCTCGAGAACACAGCCTTCCCCAGCTACCTGCTGAACGGAAAGAATAGAGCAATGCTCCTACTCGCCGAACACAAAGAGGGATGTAACTTCACCCATGTTACCAGCAGAGGGAGCGGGAGCGAGAGCACTGCCTTCACCTAGCTGGATTAAATAAAGACGTTTAACAGGACATCTTAGCCGGGCGGCTGCTGCTAGAATCAAGCAACACGTCTACCCGGAGCGGGGGCGAGAACACTGCCTTCACTGGTTGAGTTAATAACGAATGCCAGGTGCAGCGTACCCGGGAGCGGGTGCGAGAACACAGCCTTCACCGGCTACCTGCTGAACGGAAAGGATAGAGCAATGCTCCTACTCGTCAAACACAAAGAGGGATGTAACTACACCCATGTTACCGGCAGAGGAAGCGGGAGCGAGAGCACTGCCTTGTTCCACCGACACCTGCTCCGCCGGATTTCCTGCCAACACTAGATCCTGTCCTGTTGGGGGTCCCGCCGACACGTGCTATGCCAAGGGTCCTGCCGACACCAGCCCTTGCTCCGTCGGGGGTCCCACTGACACCAGCCCATGTTCGCGTCGGGCCGAACCACGCCCCTTTGCTGTGATATAATGAGCATATACCACGGCCTGTCGTGAGCTATTGCTTAAATATATATATATATGTTTTATAGCAAGAGTTAGAGACAAGAAGATTGGACTAAGGCCAAGCCCTAAGATATGCTTTCTGAGGCTTCCCATTGGACGGCAGCCTTAATGGACAACCACATTCCACCTCTAAGTGGTTTGACATCTTGCTGCCATAAATAAATGCTAACAGTGACGCTCTATTAGGCAAAACAAGGCCCTGTGTGTCCCTCCAAAGCCATGAAGCGCCGTCCTAATGGTTCACTAATGCCTTTATTGGATTACCCCAACATCTCATATTCCAGTGCGTCACAAATACAGCATTCTGTTGGGTTTGATAGAATGGAGAAGGCCTGGGTGCGATTGATATCAACCCGTTCCAAGAAGTCCGCAATTAAGAGAATTTCCAGATAATGATTATACTAATCTCCGATTACTAAATTATTTTTACGGTCACAGACACTGTGGATATTGTGTAGGGTTGAGACTGATTTCATAATACGCCAATGCTTTTAGACTCGCCAACATGTGGCCATAGAAATTACATGTCACTCTCATAAGTAAGAACACTGTACCATAAGCGACTTTCCATGAAAGCTTCCACACAATTGCATTAATGATAATACTGATTTTCATTAATTCCCCACACCTTTGTGCATTTACGGAGATAAAATACTAATCATTGCACATTATTTACAT